AAAAAAAAAACGGAATATTATCGTGAGGCATCGATAAAACAATCAACTGTAAACCGCTTTAATGAATTATGGCTAAACATTCGGAACGGCAAATTCAGTTTATTCGGATACGTTCTTTCCAAATTTTTCAAATTTTAAGTTACAAATGTTTCAGGTTTAAATTGATTTGTTGAAAGACAATAATGTGTAAACAACTTTCGTAATGAAGAAATTTTGAGGATATTTTTGATCCACATTTGATCAATGGTCTAAACGTAATTATCGAAGAGTATACTAAAATCGGATATATTAAAAGTAACATGCGAAAACTTCTTGAGTATTTAGTCGACAATGCACAATTCCTTAGGCTACCTTGGATTTTAATAAAACTCATTTCATCTCTACGGAAAGCTGTTACCCAAAAACAGAAGCACCCAAAAACTCTTGCTCCTCATCAAACAGTGAATATGGAAGAATGAGATTACAACTTTAAAAAACTAACCCTTCTCATTCCGCCTAATTTGAACGTTCAATCGAGCCACCTGCAAAATTCACGGAAACGTGGATAGAGATGGTCTATCAGAAAAAGTCATGGATACACAGCTAGTGATCAATCGAGAACATTTATGTTTACACTATGCAGGTGATAGCGCGGAGGGCACACAGCACCCAACAATTTATTGAAATCACGGCGCCAGTTTAACGCCAGCAAAAATGAAGGGACAAGTTCTACTGTGCTCCAGGAGAAATTGAAGTCGTAATAATTCCTGTGTAGTAAACTGAGAATTATTTTTGGAAGTTCCAGTTTTTCACCTCTCAAAAAACAATTCTCGACCTAAAAGCGATCTCTGTGAAAAAACTTCGTTCGAAAGGTCACTAGGTCAACTCGTTGTTTCTCCTAAGATGAGTGGAATTTGCAAAGTGACTTTTTTGACGAACCTTCACAAAGATTTTGTTTAGTTGAAAGGTCACAATTTCAGAGAGTACGACTAAAAAATCTAAACTCATCGAAATTTCAAAGTCGTGCACACGGNTGTCGGTGGCCACAAAATTTCAGTGGTTCCTGAGTTTCGATCGGCTGTCCGGAACCGAAGGCGACTGACTGGTCGGTGGCCACGAAAAACCTAATTACCAACACGAAATTGAGCTCAGCATAAAACCCTACCGGCCGTATTCTAAAACGAATCGCTAGCAAATTTGACGGAACCGTCGTAACTGTGGCTCAAAATTACATTTAAAAATTGAAGAACGCAAAGGATAATCAGATTCGATGTGTTGCTTTTAGCTTCCACGCATGGTTTTTCGAAGGTTACTCGCGAATATTAGAACTGCATATTACGCGGCATAACAACGTTTCACAATTCGACTCCTAAACGCCTCCATGTGGTCACAAAGCCCAACTTTCTAAGACAAGCTAAGAATTACGTTCACCGCGTTCACAAGAACAAACGAAGCGTTTCATCACATAGTTAGAGTTAAAATCGATCAAAATTGACCATGTTAAAGTGACACAGTTGCAAAAAGAAGTGAATCAACAAAGTGATATGAGAATGATTATCGGTATGCGACTGAATAATAATCAGCCGATGAGAATAATAAATGGCTCTGATTGTGAATAAATTTAAAACAACCAAATGTACAGCTTGAAGCGTGATGAACAAAACGTTTCATTGCCGTCAACAATACAACAATCGATTCATATATGCTGTGTTATATGTGTGCACAAAACTCTCGAAATAAATAATATGGAGTACAGATTTTTACGTATTTTTATTGCTATTTGAATACACATTCAGGTGAGTCGAAGACTACGTGTACTTTCGCCATATGATACTTTCCGATTTACTTCAACACCTCGCCGCCGTAATAGATTGNCAGCACTTCAAGAGCGATTGCTTGAAAAAATAATAAAATGGCAGTGATACGTACTTTCGCCATAATCTTTCTTCAAGTTCATCCCATTAATTGTTACGTTTATAGGCTTATGCAACGCACATGTGCATGCTCATCTCAAATCTGAACTCGATTGGCCATTATTGTTGTGGCTGCTAAACTTCGACTGTGCCTGTCCAGCTAGCATTACATTTCGAGGAAAAAAAAGGACATCAGCAGTTATCCGACACTTTTATAGGTCTCGATCCAATTACATTCACAATAATGTCACGCATTCTAGCACAATGTCCTTAAGATCAGACTCAACCCCTAACGCGTCTTGTGACCGGAAAAACCCTGCTCCTATCAGTCGTTCTTCAATGCAAACTGTTTGTGGTGCAGTCTGGCGTAAATTTCAACAGAAACAAAAGAAGTTACCCGGTCAGATTCAAAATTCCTTTGATCACACGCAAGGATGTGAACTATAAATGCAAAACCATCGAAAAGACCTGAAGGAATTCTATGGCGAAAGTGCGCATCACTTCTGACTCACTCTAGTATATGAATGAATTAGGCTCTGATGCATAACCTTCGCCTTATAAAGTTCCAATGATAGCATTTTTTATATCATAAGACAACAAAAATAACTGTTCAAACGAATCCAATTGCAATAAAATTCAAACTGAATGCGTAAAATTTAAAGAAAATGCGAAAGTTCCATTTCATTCCAACTTTTTATAGCATTTTATGAATAACAACGCTATTTCCGTTGCCAGTGGATGATTCGAGTCCTGCATTGGTTCAGTTTTTTGCCAATAAATAAATGATTTCATTCATTTATTATCCGATTTTATTTCTACTGAAATTTCGTTCATATTGTCATGAACGGTTAATGCTGATGATGTAAACGGGGGGGGGAGTGGTTCAGGACTTTGACGCATCGAGAAAAATACATAAGATGATGTAAAATCGATGGAAGAACAAAGAAATATATGTTATGTTGAAATAAGAATTGAAGCGCAAGAATTTGGACCAAAATTGAAATAGGCGTTTAGTGTTGGTGGGTGACATAATGAAAACGACCCAATATTATTATTGTTAACATCTAATAAAACGAAAGTTCTTAGAAGAGGAACGATTGGTGCGCATCGCTCATAAAACGTTCAATAAAATTCAATCCATTTATCAAAGGTCAAAATCTCGTCATGTAAAACATTTTGCTCTTACGTGTTAAACTGTAATCGTATCAGTTACGTATTCTTTATGAGAAATTCAGATTCTAAACCATTCGGATTTTTTCGTTCTTTAATGTAACGACATACAATCTCGTTTCGAATCGTTTAACATAAAATAGTCACGAAACACCCAAATGTTGTCGATGAGTATATGTTAAGTGCCATTTCTCACAGGAATACTCTGTGGCACTGCACACCACCTATCATGGTGTTCAGCTTTGAGACGATTCACTGCATTTCTGAGGCATTCAGTAATTTAAGATTATTGTAGATATTTCCGAACAAAATTATGAGCTAACCAACTCGTAGAAATTCCTGAAGAGGCAAATGCCCATCGAGAGAAAAACTGATTTTCAATTATGAAATATAACAACTTACTTCAGCAAAGTGGCGAGCTCGAACCATATTGTCGCTCTTTGACGCAAATTCACTTCCTCTATATTGTGGTAAATCGCTGCTGTCGAATATTCGTAACTCAGGAACGTTTCGGAGCGCCGGCCCCATCGACTCCGGCGAGTCGTCTAGTGGCTGAAATATTGACGATATGCTTCGATTGGCTGTGTTCAAACTGACAGCAAGCTAAGACCATACTGTGTTCAACATGTGGCTGTGAAAATATAGAAGCAGTACTGCAGTTAGCATTAGTTTTAGTGTTAAGGGAATAATAATCTCAATAATATGAGCTATTTTTGGTTGCAAAAAGAAATTAATTTTAATCAATAGTAAGTATTTCTTCGATGGCACTTATGAGCGATTTCGAAAAAGAATATTTGATTCCGCACAAAATATGTTTTTGAAAACGTATCACTTCAGTACATAAGATACTTTATTACAGAATGAAAGTAAAAGTACTGTTCGGGCGTCAACAAAAGAAATGATGCATGGCGCATTGGTTGATTGCCTTTATGCATAAACAAAAATGAGATCAACATCCGAATGAATATCAATGATCAATAAAGCGTAGTTTGGTAGCTAAGTGTTCAACATAACAGACAGTATTCACAACACTTACAACGATAAGCATACATCAGCTTCACTAAACAAACCAAACATTGTTTGCAGTGAGTCTCAATGATTACATTCAATAATCCTACTTCATACATCTTATTTTATTAATTATCCACATAAGTACATCCTCATTCTATTATTATTCCATTTATGCTCCTACCTATGAATTCTAATGATTTTGAACAGAAATGGTTCCGTTGGTAAAAGCGATATGATTGCGAATCATCGATCATAACTCATAACAGATCTCACTGGAAGTATGATTTGTGCATTTTGTAATCTCATTCGGAGTGCAAATTTGGGTATTTATCGAATACGATTACTCATTCGGGAACTCTTTCAGAACGTGACAATGCAATATATAAATACTTTTGTTTATAGATGTCATCTAATAATGCCGCAGTCCCTTTTTCGGTATAAATTTTCTTCTTCAAAAGTAACTCTAAGTTTTCAAGCTAAAACAAAAAAGTGATCGGCGTAATCACGAGTGGCTGAACTGCTTAAAAACAAAAGGCTTGCATATTTTGGACTTGATTTTCACAAAAAGATAAGTCATATCTTATCTACTTCATCGAACCATACGACCTTGCACATTCTCTTATGGTGAAGTGTCTTTAGGAATGAATATAGCTGCGTACGTGTATAAAGACAAAATAAACTTTGGTCATAATCACTCGAAGCATAAATAATTTCATTTGGTTAACAAGTCCACATGTGTGCAAAGTTCTCTTCAGAAACTGTCACAATCCGTCTTATGATTACCGAGAAGTGGAGCGAGGTTGAAATTCACAAATAATTCAAATTTTCAATACATTATGGAACTTGCTGATTGCGACAATACGTTCAACTTATAGGCTGTCAAGAAACCCCGACTTCCATGCTGATGAATTAACTGATGAAGTTTCATCCACAGTTGCGCTTATTCTATCGTGGAACGCGCTCTATAAATTAAACAGTCACTTGTTCCAAAACCTTCTGAAATGAAAACAACTGATTTATTACCGTTGTACCTCGTAACTACTCTACTGGTTTATTACTTAGTTTGTTTCAAACTAATTTCTGCATTAGATGCACGCAAAAATGAAATGATTGATGGTGAGTAAAATATTATTCTTTACATAATATATTTTACACTTCCTCCGAAGCCAGTTCAACAAGATCAATAACGAATGTGTTCACCTCAGCTCAATACAACAATATGATCAGAAGCACATATCTCATCGAATCTTTTCTTAACGGAGTATAGCTTCAGGATTCTGGATGAGATTGGTCAGAAAGATTTCAACAAGAAAAGAATGACCGATGTAACGACTTGACGAGAATGGAACCATGTGAGCAACTCGAAGTTCACTTCCTCGTCAGTCTGTCAATTGGTCAAAAACGCAAATCAAAAAGTCGCTTACTGAAAAGATATTCATTCATACACAGTCCACTCCGACGCAATCTTAAGAGACCTGAGAACTACACTGCTGTAGTATTCATCTCGACTTCATAGGAACGATACGTCCTCAAGACAGTCTTAGAACATACTAATGCTGGATGCAAACTGTGAGCGAACCTACTCATTTAAAAACTTTAGATGTGTCACATTTTTATTCGCGAAAATTTTTAAAAAATAACCCTGAAGAACCAATTTAGTTCACATTAGCAAGAGAACTCATCAACTGATGAAATAAGAATTGCTAAATACACTCGATTTCGTAAATAAGGCACTGGGTCAACAGGATGCCCATAAATAATTCCAAGCTATTTATTAAATCACTCAAGTCACTTTTTCAATACAAGTGTTCATAACTGGAATGAAATGAGAATTGTTTGAAGGCGTTTAATTGGCTGCAATTTTATTTTTTCATTGTCACCGGCGTCAATTCTGAATCAGATGCACAAATATTCACATTTACTGTCTAAGTGTAGGTGGATTCCATGAAGCGTCACTAATGAATCATCTTTAAAAATCTTTTTGCTAAAAATGTGCTAAAAGTGCTAAAAATGGCAGTGCTAAAATGCACCTTTTCCTTCGAATGATTATCGAACCACAAAAACGAATCAACCAAACATCTTTTACCTAATTGTAGGGTCATTAATAATACACTAGACTTCGTGACTATTATATTCGCTAAGTTCCTAAAAAAGACATCAATGAAGTACGATGAACCGAATAGAGTCACGAAACGAATGCCTGGCTATAAATGCGAAGAAGATAATGTAAATTGATCTTTTTCGCTAAATAATGCCACGCATCGATGTATTTCACAAAAAGCAATTCTTTGCATCGCTGCGAATGAATAAAAGAGAAGTGGACGTGTCACTTCATCCATTCAAGTAAAAACTGACCTCAAATTATTTTATCTATTATATTCAATGGATTATTAACACCGATCCTTATTGTTGTGAACGCTATTCACAAGAATGCACACAATAGAGCTGAGAAAGTTAATTTCTACCATATAATACTATAGGGCATCACGCACATCAAAACATAGTTATACATGTAAATATGAATTTTTATACTCATTTATTTATTTATTTTATTAATAGTAGGTGTATGAAGCATATTTAGAATAATAACATACACTTACATGTACTTCAAAGGATATTAATTATGTATTTGGTAATTGGATCCTTTTATTAAAAAGTAATTTATGTGAAGAGTAATCTACGAATTTTTTGAATTGCAATACGAAGCTGGAAATGAGACGTTAAAAGCAGGATTGGGTCTGTGATTCAACTTATCGGGCTGCGGTCACAGATCGATAAGCAGGTTTTTCCATCATTAAATGTTTACCCTTTCGATGGTGGACACCCTCAAATCGGTGGTCACCGATCGAAACTGATCAACGCTCAGAAACGTCTTTTCGGTAGTCTCTTATAGGTGTGTGGGTCGGTGACCACCGAAAAAATCTGTTGGTTGCGAGTTTTGATTAAGAACACAAAATAATTATTGAGATCTAAAAATGTGAACCTCTCAGAACAACGGAATATCAGTGAAGAGACATTTGAAGAAGACACATGAACATTACGAAAGAAGATCTATATGGTCGAAAGAAGTTCCCAAAAACACTCCGAGAGTCTATTATTAACTTAATTCAATTAATAATCATCCGATTTTCAGCAATAAATTTGTAAGTGATCCTAAGAAAAACCTTTTAATCCAGATACGTTCTTTGAAACAGCTATCCGAAAGAAAACATCGATTAGATTAAGGAAAATTAATGATTCCATCATAAAATGTTGAGAACTAGTTTTGAGGAATATAGAAACGACATATGGTTGACAGTAATTTTTTGCTTCATTCTTGGAGTTGATGCACCTTATTGAAGAATGTTTGTTTTGGATGAAGGACAAAAGCAAGAAAACAGAGAGAGATCTGAAGAAAAAACAGTGATAATTCGAATGAAGGAAAAGCGTTCTTCTATTGGAGTATTTTCACTTTCTGAATTTTCACATACTAATAACGATTTATCGACTATATACATGTTCCTATAAATCATTCCATTCGAAACGAAATCACAAAAGACACATCAAAACGCATTGCGACACAATAATCTTCCATGCGAAACATGATAGAAATGTGTTTTTCTATGTGAAAATAGTCTTATCAAATTTGATTTTTATATGCAGAAAATTTCATTACCTGATAACATCGTCAGATTACGATGATAAAAATATACGGATAGTTTGAGAAGACAACGAAGAAGAGTACTGAATAAATGAAACGATGCGAATAAAATTGAGTATCCTCAATTTTGCCATGGATAGAGCGATCAGATAGCAATAAAGGTGATCACTAAGAGATGAAAAAATCTCACAGCGTCGAAAATCACAAATGAGAAAAGGAATTTTAATTTGCAATCTGAGCGTCTATTACGTCAACGTACTGTGAATATTTCAACAAATTGTTGAAAGAGATGGTAACATCAGAACAAACTATTGTCTACGCATACAGTCATTTGTTTTTTACATGTTGTTTTATTAGCTTCAAAAAATTGAAGCAGAATGGATACGAAAGATTTTAGTTTAATATTGCTTGATCTAAATTCGTAGTAGCAATTCGATAGCTATCATAAATTCATTAGTCGTTTGCACATTAAGTTCTTCATGTTTCCTGAAAAGTGGGATGCACATCACATGCCAAATATCGGCTGATGAAATCAATTCGCAATGAGAACGATGCGGAAGAATAGAATATTGAATGAAGAAAGCAAATTATTTTTAGACGTCTTATTGTGTCTTTTAATGCATGACANTGATGCATCACCAAAATTTGAATGTTCTCAGATTTTAATGAATAAAGATATCAGTTCGAGCATAGAAAGCAACGGTATTATCCATCATGAAACATTCACTTCATTAGAGTCTCCTCTTTTTGATGTGAAGAATATCCCAATGAAAGGGATTCGAACCAATCGCACACTTAAGACTGCTGTAACATATCTGCAAAATGCCGCTCTTCGAGTTTAATGAAACAACATTACAGCGTATCGCCATTTCCACTTGAATTGAATGAGTAGAGCGTCAATGTGATTTAAATTATACGAATACCACCAATTATGTTTTGAAGCGCGTTTTCAAGTTCATTCTTAGACGGCATAAAC